AACCTTCCTCTTCCCAACCCCCCTCTCCTCTTGGCTCCTTGGTATCATTTGGGCTAAAAGACACCTCCGGAGAGAGGCTTTCTTTGACCTTCTCACCCAAAGAAGTAGCTCCTCAAGTACTTTTTAAAATCATCTCATGCGTCACTTTTCTTCCTGTAATTTATTGCTATCTGACATTCTCCTGTTTATTACTTCTCCCCTCCTTTTTAGCCTCCATGAGAGCAGGGGCCTTGTCCATCTTTTTCCTGCTGGACGCACAAAGCCTGTACACACAAAACAGTGGAATACACCAGCCAATGGCACAGACATTTTCCAAAGTGCCAGGCTTGAAGGACAAGAGCCAATCAAGAAGACAGTCTAGGCCCGAAAAGTTCAGGGAACCAGGAGACCCAAGGCTAAGGCAGAGCAGGCATACAGACCTGGAGATCAAGTGGGAACAGGGAAGCATGCAAACAGGATATTGGGAGACAGGTTGGCAGAGAAGCTGAGGACCCACAGCTGCTCCAGCCTGAGCTGATGACTGGTCCAGGCAGAGCTAGTGCCCAGAGAAGCAAGCAGGTGAGACGTGTCAGGGTTAATAAGGTACAGATGGACCACAAGGTTCCATTCCTGTTACTTAGAGAACGCAAGTGGACCAGGCCTGTCATGTTAGATAAGAGGTGATCACCAGGGATCAGAATTTGGGTCAGGCCATGAGAGACAGAGATCAATTCACCTCAGAAACAAGAACGGCACTGACTGGGGTGAGTGACACCATTCATGACGCAATTCCCGCGAAGTCACTGACAGGCATGGCCCTGCCACGTGGGCCTGGGAGATAGATGCAGTTGAGGCTGAACTGCAGAGGGCTCTGCTCCACACGCTCCTCTCCAGAGTGACAGAGAAGCACACAGAAGTGCGCTCCACACCCCGAGAATGAATGCTCCAACTGTTCCATACAGGCTGCCCGGGACATCTTCCAGGCACCACTTTTGAATTACCAAATCCCAAAAGAAGTTCAGAAGTCTCTTTTCAAATCACCAAAACAAGGAAGGGAACCAGGGAGGTACTGTTTGAAAGTTCTACTGTTGTTTGAGGACTAGTCAAATGAACAAAGGACAGCAACCATGTGTCGGGCACCTGATAGGCAGCACCTTGCTCAGCTTCACATCCACCTGGTGAGACAGGGAGTGACAGCCACTCTAAAAGTAGTTTGTGCCTCTAGGACCCAGGCCACACAGCCAGGATGTGGCAAAGCCAAGGTGGCTGGCTCCAATGCCCATGCTCCTAACCACTAAACTCTCAGTCTGCCCCTCAGAAGATGCATTTGGAGATAATGTCTTGAGTGAATTCAAATGCAAAGGTGAAAGAGTCTTGGGACATCAAAAAACAGCCTGTAAGTAGAAAGACTGACCCAGGAACTATCTAGATCAGGGACTGACAAATATTTTTGGCAAAAGACCAGACAGTAAACATTTTAGGCTGTGCAGTCTCTGTGGCAACAACTCAGCTCTACCATTGTAGCCCAAAAGCAGCCACAGACAACACACAGACAAAGGGGTACACTGGGTTCTAAGACACTTCACAGACAAAAACAAGAGGATCTGGCCCAAGGCCATAGTTTGCTGACCACGCCTTAGCCCATGGGAGTCCTGGGAAATTGTTGAGTCAAGAAGGAACATGATCAAATGAGTGTTTTAGAACGAACTATGGTGAATACTGAAGGATGGAGTCAGTAATGTTTTAGATGTTATGGGAAATAAATACTGGTATTATCATGTTTCTCTGTTATTACAGCTGTTATAAACAAATGGGAGTGGCTGTGTTTCAATAAAGCTTTATTTACACAAACAGGCAGAGGCTGGAATTTGACCCAGAGGTCATAATTTGCTGAACCCTGCTGATCTAGGATCTCATGTCAGGGATTCTAATAAATCAGTAATAACCTGAAATCAGCTAGCAGGATTCTTCCAACATCTGCCACAGCTACCGAAGACACATATTAAAGCATAAAGCAAGAGCCTCTGATTATCCCAATATGGGGATGGGAGACGGGAATTTTTCTGTCAGCTGGATTCATTCAAATCAGACATAGATCCCAGCCATGTAGGATCAGCTCTTTACTCCTTCAGAGCAGACATCTAGGCAATGCTCTGTACACAAACTGCATCTGTGGCAGAGAACAAAACTGCAAACCAATGGCTCACACATCTTCATCCCCGCTCTGTCAGCCCAGCTAAACCAGTGAATATCCTGCGGTCTCTGCATCTGTATCTGACAGTGACTGCTAGAGCTGCCCGCCTGCTGACATGTCCACAACTGGTACTGACAGACTCCGGGGGAAGCGTACATCGTCAGAATAGCTCTCCAGCTTTCCAGGACTGCCTCTGGACTATACCATCTTGCTCAGTTCCAACTGTTGTTGCCCAGAACTAAGAAGCAGGGAGAAGGCTAGGTTATCAAATTTTAAATAACACAACCTAGTTATCTGCTTGAGAATTTCCATAAGAAGATGCTGTTAGATAGTGTTTGCTGTTTCTACTCTTGGTGGTTTTCCATGGTGGGGAGGGGGGCAATTTTGCCTCCCGTGTCTGGAGACATTTTTGATTGTCACTACGAGGTGGGTGCTGCTGGTACTCAGTGGGTACAGACACTGGAGATACTGCTAAACCTCCTAAAATGCAAGAACAGACCCCCACAACAACAAATTATCTAGTCCAAAATATCAACAGTATCAAGTGAGATGCCCTGTCTTCGTGGGAGTTCACCACATGATGATCCCAATGCCTCAAGCATATATTCACAGTCCAATTAAATTCCAGAAACTCGGCTCCAAAGACCACTTTGATTGACATGTTAAGTCGATTAGATGAAAGAGAAAAATAGCAGTGTAAGTTAGACTTGCTGATGGGGCCTGTGTGGTTGTTTCTTTGTTGTTTTTAAGAAAAAGAATTACTTTGTCAGAGTTCATCTATAAAAGGAGGAAGTTGGGACAAATCATTTCTGTAGTTTCTCTGCGCTCCAAAGTCCTATGATTATAAGCATATAAGGTGGTTAAAATTCTAACAGACTACTTTGGGGTTTTTGGTAGCTTTCTAAAAAACATAACGCTGAAAAGGCTGAAAAGCTAAGACCAGATCATTGTCCTTCAGAGTTTGGAGAAAGCCTACCCTTGAGATGTTTAGCAGTACAAAAGAAAGAAATTTAACAGTCAAAACTAGAGAAATTGAAAGTCTGGAAATTTACCATTCACGTAGCTTGTTTCTTCCCAGGGAAAAGGTTCGATAAACTGAAGGAGGACTTTCCCCCGAAATGTGTAACATGGAATGCATTGAACCAGAAACTTGAAAACAGCAACTGTTTTACTTGTTACACATTGGTAACAGCAATGGTGACCATTTGCTTATTTATTTTTTCTGGTGGTTTACTTGTAATATTCAGGAAATGTTACAGAAGATCAAAGTCAATGAGTAATTTAAAAATGCACCCTCTGAAAAACTACTTAGTTGTTTTTCAACATGAGCTCTCAAAGTAGAGTCTCATTTTTCAATCCATCAGATTAAAAAAGGTGGCATTTTATTTAGACATATTAAAAAAGCCAGTGTCTACAGACACTGCCAAAGCTTGAATAGGTTAAAAGCAGACAGTGTGATCAAATAGTAGGCACTGAAAAAGAATTTCCACATTGTATGTTAAAAGCAACCATTTTCTCCTTACCAAAAAAATACATAAAATTAAAAAGTTTCCAAGTTTCCTGGATCCCTTCAGAAAATATATATAAATATATGTAAAATTGAGTAGGATTTCCTGTGTTTGAACTCAAGCTTCAATCTGCTGCTGCACATTTTCAAGAATTATTATTTGAACTCCACATACATCAGGGAACGTTCCTCGATTGGGTCGCAAAGCGGAACACCAACCTTCCTCCACCTCACCCAACCCCATTCTTATATCTCATTTATATTATACCTCATGGTCCCAAACCTTGAGGCCACTGAAGTCTCCACTCAATGACTAGACTTGTCACTGAAGGGTAAGTGCAGGTCATCTTCTACAGATCAAGTCCACTGCGACACTCAGTGACCACAGGAGAACTGGGACGTGAATTCTCCGAAACAATATGATCCAGGTTTCATTTGCAATTTTTGTTTTGTATTTGTGTGTATATATATATTTGTAAGTATTTTGTGTGTATATATATGTATATACGTATCTGTATATACATTTTTGTGTGTATATATAAGATATACACTTAAATGTTAATTGTGGTTATTTCCTAGAGTAGTAGATTTATATGGTTTTCTTTTTTCTTCCCTTTTTTTGCTTGTCTACCGCTTCCAATTTTTTCTATATTAAGCATAACTTTTGCCAAAAGAAAATAAGTAATATTCCATATGTATGTTTTTTTTCCTCAACCTCATTTCAAAAAGGATTTCAGGCACCTGACAAAAAAAAGTAACAAGTACATAAAGACTTCTTTCAAAGTGAGGGTAATTACAAGACAAGGGCAAGAAACAAGAGCAGCAAACCCTGAAGAAGTCAAAGGTGAAAGCTATTAGCCAGCACATAAGCCCCAACGTCCTGCCTGTCCTGCATGCTGGCCGGAGGGAGGCATACAGTTTCTTGGCATGCACAGAACATTCCTCCCCACCCTCCTTACCTCACCCCTACCAGTCCTAATTAAGTTTTGTCAGGGAAAGATAATGAGAATATTTTTCTACATTCCCTGATCATACTCCCAGATGAGATCACGCAATCCAGAAATGTGTTGGAGGAGGAGGAGCTAGCTGCAAATACAACCAATAGCATGCTAACTGTCCTGCCCATTGCTCCTAGGGCTAAGTGTCAGTGTGTACCAGAGCTCAGCATCTCCCAAAGGCATTCCTTTAACGGTCTACAAGTGTCCCTCTGCGTGCAATTCACTGCCATGAAGTCAGTGGTGACAAGACCAAGAGAGCCTGTGGTATCCTTTCGAGGTACAGCCACACTCAAACGAGAGGTCCCAGCAGCACAGTGCTTACCGTAAGCTGTCATGACACCAGCGTACGGTCCATCCACCACATTCCTGTTTTCTTCAGCTAGCGCCTTGATGTACCTCTTGCTGAGGTCCAGGATCTGCTCGCGCAGCATGGAGCTGCTTTCAGGCTGAGTTCGCTGCTGGATGGTAAAATGCAGGAGCATCATACCCCAAATAAAGCCAAAAGTCACGAGGAAAAAGCCCAGCTTCTGAGAAGACAACTTCCACAGAGGGAAGAGAGCCATTGCTCTCCAGCAACTTCACCCGCCCTTGGCTCTTAAGGCAGAGAAGGGAGACACGAGTTCATGGTGTAGGCTGGGTTTGTGGGTTCGTGGGTTTCACTCCGGCTCCTGCGTGAGTCGACTTCCTTTGCTCACTTCCATTCTGCTGTGAAGGAGGAGGAAAGTTAGCAGAGGGGTCATAGTAAAACACAGTGAAATAAACCACAAGTCATGTTTTCACTCGAATAGCTCTAAAATGTGAGCTTACTTTTTTCTTAACTTGCCGGTTCAGTATCTTATGTTATGTTTCAGGATCTGTAAGCTGAGAGGGGAAATCTGGCCCGGTGACAAGAAGCTGTATAAATACAGAGGGGGAAATGCGTGTCGGAGTGTGTTAACAGGTGCAGCAGGGCAGCTCCAGTCTGGATCAAGTCCAAAACAGGAAGTTTGTTTTGCAAGGTGGGGAGGTGATGGAACAACATTTCACACTGGATGTCAGCAAAAACCTAAGTGGAGGGTGGAGCCATATTGCCACCGGGCACTTTTGTGCATCTGTAACTTGAGATTACAAAGTCATTATTACGTGCTCTGGCAAGGATTAGAGCTCGCAGCTGGAGAGATGAGCAAGAAAAGTGGAGGCCCCCTCAGGGGTAATCAGATGAGGAAGGGGAGAGAGCCCCCATATTACTTAAGCGTGGCCAGCTTTCATTAGCAGTGTCCAGAGACAAGCTGAGTCTCTTGGAGCCACCAGGTGGCCTCACCCTGGGCACTATCACAGAGAGGCTTTGCCAGAGGGACCCAGTGGTCTTTCCGTTCTAGCTACCACGGGTAAAAGCTCCACCTCACTACTCACTTCCACACTTCAGCACAGGAAATGTGGAGCACGCGATAACCTGCTTTTCTGCAGTTCTCACTTGCACTTACACCACAGGGCAAAATGAGAAGTCAAAAGGCATGGTTTCAAGATAATGTGTCCAGATCCTATCTGATACCAGCACAGGCTGGGCCAAGGTCCTAAATGAAGGCTTCCCAGCAAACGGGGCCAAAGCATAGGTTGCACATGAGTCACTGGGGGGCCCAGATATCCATCCCTACAGCCAGAGTCCTGGGCCCAAGACCCAGCCAGCTTACAAATGGCACCATTTTCTAAGTGTGCCAAGGGAAAGGTGGAGCAGTGATCTATGGGGGACTAACCCAGGATGTATCCACAGTGCAGATATGTTTCAGGTCAAAGGATTCCTCTTCATAAGCAGCCTAAGAGGAAATGATATTGGGATCTTTCACAGTCTGCAATGCAGCAGATTTGGTCTGCCTGTCTTTCCCTCACCTATCAACGGAGTCATCAGGAGTTGGCAGGACCACTGCTACTACTAATAGTAAATGACAAATAAATTCTAGCTATGCCTCAGGCCTTGTGATAAATGGTTTTTTCTGCCTCAGTTCATTGAATTCTTCTGAGAGTCCTATATGGTAAGAACTATTTATATCATCTCTGTTTTATAGATGAAATAAAGGCACAGAGAGATTAACTTGGCAAAGGTCAGCCAGCTATGCGGCAGAGGAGGGATAATCTAGGCACAGCCCAGGAATCACTAAACCACGTCCCTTTGTCATCCCTCCACCCCCACCAGCCTGTTCGTGTCTGACCAAGAATGGTTTGTACATGCTTAAAGGGTTGTGAAAAGCAACAAAGAATATGTGACAGGGACCCTAGGACAAAAGCCTAAAACCTTTACTATCCTGCCATTAACAGAAAAAGTTACCAACCCCTGAATTCTAGACCAATGGTTCTCAGAGTGTGGTCCCTACTCAGCAGCAGCAGAGAGAAATGCAAATTCTCAAGCCCTGCCCTACTGAGTCAGCAACTTTTGGGGGGCAGGGGGCAGCAAGCTGTGCTTCAATAAGCCTTCCAGGTGATTCTGATGTCCACTCACGTTTGAGAGCCCTGACCCAGGCGGACGGTTGCTGTCACTATGCCATGCCACCATTCTGCCAATACAATGGGGCTCAAACTCCGTCTCGCACTGCTTTATCACATAAGTAAGTTCCTCTGATCCATGTGGCCCCTCCAGATCGGCAGGTCTGCTCTCACCATAACCCTGAATATCCTTCTTCAGGGTCTCCCTTTCTTTACTTGAACTGGTCCTCCACCTCGCTGGCCCTCCCGTATCATGCTGATAACCTAAACCCGGCCTGTCCCCAAGCCCCAGCTCCGGTCCCACCTGCTTCAGATCACTTCCCCCGCTGCTCCAGCCTAAGATGCCCCTGCCTAGTCTGTAATTTTAAAACACTTGTCTATCTACCTTTGATTGTTTACCGGTTTCTGTGTGGGATCCCATGACTCCTCCACATACCTTCTCAGAGAAAGACAGTAACCCCCCGGGCATGATAAAACACCTGTTGACTAAGTGACTTGTCATCTGGGCACTATGGCACCTTATTCAGCCCCTCTCAATATGGCCAGCTGAGCAGCACCCGCCCTCTTTCCTTCCTCCATTCTTGCTACAAGTACACAGCCAGCAGTTGCTGCCATCAGGCCCTGGGGACTGAATGATGAATGGGACCGAGTTCCCACCCTCAAGGGGCTGATGCTTTAGAAGCCACCCCTCTAACCGGGTACTGCCCCAGGTTCTATAGGAAGTGCCTGCACTTCCTTTTTGATAACCCACATTAGTCAGCAGGTTTTACCCCAGGCTGAAGGGATTTTCCCAGAGCAAGTACACTAAGAAATATATCAAAAAAGACAGTCTTCTGGTGATTTTCTTTTACTATTTCAGGAGCGCACTCCAAACACTGACAGGAATTACCTGTCAATTTTCAGACAGGAAACCCCACTCTGCTTGCACAATGAACCCCCTGAAGAAGCTGCTCCACGTTGCGGAGTTTAAGCAAACGAAAAGCCAAGGGCCAAGAACCGAACGAGGGTTTCAGTGGAAGGTGGCAAACTTCCCTGCTTGGCCGTGGGGACAATCAGAACGACCCAGGTGGAGCATTCGAGGGGCAAAATGATGGTCAAGAAACCCAGCCAAGTTTAAATTATTCCAGCTCAGACACATACAAATTTGGAGTGAAAATCCCTAACTCGAAGAAGTTCAGGGTATAGTTCTGATTATTGAGGGCCCAGATTTTAAGTGACTATAGAACTGCCAGAATATCCTTTACTCCATTCGAACCTACGGTCTGAAATAGCAGAGACTATATCAGCAAACAACCAGCACACACAGAGAATTAAATTAGAATTCACCTCTACAATTTCTATTAAGAAGATAGAATTTTAAAAGACTTTTCAAAATCATTATTCAAGAGACATCCCTATCTCCCACAGGACTAGAAGGATAACAGGACAGCAATTCTCACCAGAGGGTCTTGGTGCCATAAAAGGACCTAAAGATAATCATCAGTAACGGCCACACAATTAATCAAGAGGCCACAGAACAATAGTAATCAAAAAGTTGTTGAGCAGGCCAAGAATCTGCCTGCCTCCAGACCTTCCAACAGCTGGATCCTCTAGCAAAGTGGGCCTATAGGCACAAAAAGAACTACACAGTGTATCTCAGAGTGCTTGTTGCCAACCAGAGCAGTGACAGCCCAGGGCCATGACTTCACCTGTCCTCCTCCAGAAAGACGTTTGCACGAAGTCTGTCTGCAATGAGTTAACACTTCCGGGTCAGTCACTGCCACTAACCACCCTAACGTGTATCTCCTCTGACTCCTGTGCTTCCTAAAAGAGCAGCATTCACTGCCTTCCTTCCCATTCACTCCTCAGTACAACAAAATCTGGCTGCCACCTTTCCAAATGTGGTCAAAGATCTCTGGCAAGGAAATGTGTCGGTTCTCTTAAAAAATAAAAGCATATGCTCATCATCATCATTAGCCATATTAGGGCAATGCAAATCAAACCGACAATGATATACCAGTTCACATCCACTAGGATGGCTATAATGAAGAAGGACAGATAAGAACAAGTGTTGGCGAGGATAGAGAGAAGCTGGAACTCTTAAACACTGCAGGTGGGAATGCACAAGGGTGCAGCCAGTGAGGACAGTAGTCTGGCAGTTCCTCAAATGGTTAAGCACAGAATTACCATATGACCGAGCCAACTCTGCTCCTAGGAATTCTCCCAAGAGAAACGAAAATATACATCCATGTAAAAACTTACACACAGATGTTTATAGTAGCATTATTCATAAAAGACAAAAAATGAAATCCAAATGTCCATTGACTGATGAACGGATAAACAAAATGTAGTATATCTGATGAGGACTTTTAGGCCACTTAATTTTAAAATGGTTTATGATGAGGATTTTTAGGCTGGTTACTTTTAAAACTGCAGATGAGAAGCAGGCTCCGAGGACTGGAATTTTGCTTGCCCTTTTGAGACATTTGCGTTTGTGAAGGAAGGGGGGATGACCTTGTAGGGACCTGAAATTGGCCACCCCAGGATATGTCTCTTTGGCATCAGGATTGTTTTGGGCTGATTGCTTTCGATAAACTGGGACAGGGAAGGAGGCTCTGGGGAATGGAACTTGCCCTTGTTGGGACACATTTACATTTGTAAGGTAAATCTCTATCTGTAAAAGGTGCCTCCCCCTCTGTACCAGGAAGAAGAAGAGAGATGACCTTATCCCTAGAAATTCTTAATGGGGAAGGCAAGAACTTAAGTTGGTTGCTGTCTGGCAATCTCATGTAACTGGTTTAGGGTAGTGGCGTCTAACCTTTCTAACCTTTCCTTAATCCGATTTGATTCTTGTCTAAAAGTCATGGGATCACCCAATGACCAGACCCCACCTGCACTGATACCATTTTAACTTTTTTTCATGTTCTTTCCTTTGTCTTCGTAAAGAGATGACTCACATACCTATGCCTTAAATTTAGCCCTAACCCTCAACTCAGGGCAGCAGCAGGAGCTCTGCCTGCCCATGGGTCCTGTCCCCACGCCAGCGGGGGCAGCAGAAGCGGCAGCAGCAGGAGCTCTGACTGCCCGTGGGTCCTGTCCCCACGCACCAGCTCTGCCTGCCCATGGGTCCTGTCCCCATGCCAGCGGGAGCAGCAGCAGCGGCTCTGCCTGCCCATGGGCCCTGTCCCCATGCCAGCGGGGGCAGCAGAAGCGGCAGCAGCAGGAGCTCTGACTGCCCATGGGTCCTGTCCCCATGCTACACTATTCTC